TATACCAAGTTCACCAATGCTGCAGAGAAGGACTATTGTTTGTCATATATTACATAGTGCAGTAGAATATTATTTATTTATGCAACTATTAAGACTCACCTTATGTGGAACATTTGAAACAGTCAAGGTGCGAGGCCAACATCAAGAAGCTGGATCCATGGATCCAGTGAAACACACAACACATGCTCATGGAAAATATTTATATATTACCTGAAAAGCAATGTAGGCTTCATTATCTCCTTTAGGTGAACAATATCTTCTTGTTCTCACTTTCAAGCATTTTCTTGGTTCTCGTAGCCGATATGGGAAATAAGATGCTTTCATGACAGGCAGCAAGTTAAATATCTAAGAAAAAAAATGGTTCAAAGAAGTTCAAACAATTGAGAAAATCAGATTAAAGATCTGTACTTATATGAACCACATATGTAGTATTTACAAATGATCAGATCACTGTTCAATGTAAGGTTTATACCACAGCTGTCCTAAATGAACAGGATTGGTAATTACCAAAATCAATTTTTATGGTTCTGTAATTCTCAGGACTGTGTGGAGAAGAGAGAGAGTGGACCCAAAGGCAGACTACGGAGACAGACTTGAATTTTTAACAAACGTGAGCCTTTTATTCTTGGCTGTACAAATAACAAACAAAAAGCAAATGGAGATAGAGATGAAACTAACAAGGCCTAAACTGGGGAAAAAAACCAACCACTAAGTACCTGGATGTGAAGAAAAATAACATGGAACGTGAAGCCCTAAGCCATTAAAACCAAGACCAGAAACATGAGTGGCGAACAGAGAAACCGACAAGTGACAAAGGGAAACTCAAATTATAACACACAGCAGGATGATCAGGGAAGTCGAAGCAGCTGGGGAACATATCAGACACACATCAGGAACTAATCAGACATAACAGGTGTGGAGATCAGGGAAATTATTTTACTGCTATTGTTAATAATCATCATCATTACCATTGCATTAATAATATAATCTACAGCATTGATATTGCATTCAGATGTTTAAACATATTGGCTTGGGGTTGCAAAAGAGCAGTTTGTTGCAGAACTGCTGCTGATGTATCAAGACGATAAGCGAGCGTCCGGCAGTAACAGGAAGCAATTGCCGTGAAGACGAAGACAATGTTCTTTTTAAACTGTGTTAAAAGTCATTGTGGTTTTGGAACCTATGTATGAAGTGTATCTGTGACGTTGAAGGGGCGTCATTAAATTCAAACCCTGATGGTATAAAATATCTGCTTGTGCTTTGATTAGTCGGAGATCAGCACTGTCTGCGAACGGAGCTGGTCCCCCCACGCGTGTATTTCATTAAAATCAATTGTTTGACCAAGCTCTTCTGGACCATGGTTGCTTTTACTCTCCTTCCTCAATATTTGAACCTTAACACAGGACAGGGGAAGCAAGAGACTGTCAAAATAAAACAGGAAGCACAACAAACATGGAGATGAACACTAAGACACGCAGGATTAAAGCTGTGACCGGGGGAGAAATAGACATGGGGACATAACTGACTGGGGGGACCGAGAGAGAACACAGATCACGAAG